GGCTTAGTAGGACCATGACCCACAAGGCGAGCATGCCACCTATGGAAAGCTACATCAGATTTAGGCCAAGTGCAAATACCTCTTTTGCGAAGTGGCCTCAGCGATGGAGAGTTCAGAAATGGAGGGCCCTGAGTGCAAGGAAACAGCTGGCCCACCGCCGCCTATTCAACTGCCTCTGCATTGTTGAAGAAAGGACCCAAGTAGAACTCATTACGTCCAACGTCGGCGGGTGCGAGAAAACTCGGAGTTATGTATGGGCGACTTAGAGTTTCTGAAAGTCATCAAAACTAAAGGAGTCGCTAGCTTGAGATTGTGAAGCAGCCATTTGAGAATGAATGAAGCTTTTCAGGGTTACGTAGCAGGGAAGCAAAAGATGAACAGTAAATCGTGAGAGAGACGCAAAAAATTTGAGGCGTGGTTTAATGGTGTAGTGAAATGGCGTGTTTGGGGTTTATAAGGGTTTGCAAAGCGACGTACCTTTTCAAGTTATAGAAGAAAACAATGATTGAAATTCTTGAAAATTTCGAATGTTGCTGGAAACACAAAGTGAATATGGCAAAATTTAATAATTATTATTAATTCTTCCATATTGGGGGGTAATTGTTGACACATAAAAATTCAGCCCAAATCGAACAGCCCAAGGAGTGAAGCCCAATTGAAGGATCCCCAAATCAGATAGCCCAAAGAACGAAGCCCAATCAAACAAATCAAGATGAAGGCCCAAATAGGGAGGCCCAAGAACACGGTAACGCCATCGCCCAAGTTTGCAAGTCGCCCAGAATCTGAACGAATGGAGTGCCATACAGTCGCCCAGAGCTATTACTCTATTCTCGTCCAAACCTTCAAATCGCCCAAGGTCTTAACAAATATAAAGCATTGTGGTTATCAAGACGTGCCGTTATCAAAGCAGTCCTATCACGTTCCACGATTCAAGGAATTCAATCGAAAGCGGTTGAACGACGAAGAGTAATGGCAACAGTTAAAAAATGCAGTTTTAATGACAAGTTGACCATTATGAGGAAAGTGGGCAGTTATAGGACGATCAAGCGATTTTTAGGCGGTTGATCACAAAGAGATCGTCTGTGAAGTATAAAAGGGAGAAAAAACATAGAGCAAGAAAAAA